TAAATACATACCAGATACTATAAATTTAATGTTCATTAACCGCCTACTTCATTATGAAGTAGATCCAACATTATATTTTAAGAACATTACTATTCCACAAGTGTGGAAATCTTACTTATCTAACAGCGCCATTATTCTTTTACGTACTATGAAATTCTATAAAAAAATTCTAGATTCAACACCACCTGACTCACTTGATAGTCTTCAATCTATGAATTATCCAAATAATGATCAAAACGTAAATCCTTCGTTGACTTTCAACGATCAATTATGGAATGAACAATCACAACATTGTAAATATTTTTATAAGTAGTGCTTAGTTTGTCCCAAGCTGAAAGTAGGAAAAAATACTCCTATCAAACGAATCTTTCTCTAAAACGATTAGTATTTTTTTTTAAACAAATTTCATGATGACAATACTTAGCTAGATGCTTCGTTTCATATTTAATTCATTGACTGATTCAATGGATTATTTAGTACATATATATGTTGTAGTAGAAATTAAAATTCAGTAGAATTTAAAATTCTACTAGTAGAACTTAAAATTTTAATTTCTAAACCAAAGATTAAAAATTCAAATTTTAAGTTCTACTAGTAGAATTTAAAATTCTACTGAATTTTAATTTCTACTCCGACATATACAAAAATGTTCAAATTATTCGGAACAGTTTGAGAAAAATTGAACTAATTCATCGAAGAAAAAAAAAGATAAGTTTCAAAAATTTATAGCATATTAAGTGTTTTTATTATAAAGTCTGCAAAATATCTAACATTTTCCATGCAATGCTAACAAATCTCTTGTTTAATACTGTAGTATCTTTTAATGCATATGCTTTTTGAAGTTGAAAAAAGTCTGAAAAATATTCAGACATTAAATTTAAAACCTTTTATAAATTATTATTACGCTGAACATGTAGAATTAATATCAACTGTTACAGTCTCGTGTTTTCCACTTAGCATAATGATGCTCATAACAACGAAATTTTCACGTTTACTTGAACTCTAACCACGAAATCGAAAAGTTTCTTGATATATTCACATCTTTTTAGTAAATCGACCTAATGAAGAAAAATCATGTTCAATTTTATTATCATCGTGCAATATGAATCATTTAACATTTACAAGTGAGTAAATATGTTGTTCCGCTATTTATCCCACTTATTTTGTTTCTTTTTTGTCACAATTTTAATATAGATAATCACACTACTCAATATGATGGTTTAACTAACAAATTCAACACTTCTTCAATTATTACCGAAGAAAATTCAGACAGTTCAAAGAAAAAAAGTGAAGACAGTCTGAAAATACTCTTAATTCATCCTTAGCTTTGTTTTGCATAGGAATAATAAGCAGTATTGATGAATCCAACAATGATATGTTGGACAAAACGCCGTCAAAAAAAAGACTTCATCCACAAAATAGTAATGATNCTTCGTATACAGTCAAAGCTTCCTGATACTTTTATCAATAAGCTGACAATGAATTGGAATTTACTACGAAAACAAATCATCGGTTTAAGAAATATTAATAATAAAACTTGTTATATTAATGCAGCTTTACAATGTTTAGCGAACACTCCTCCTCTGACTGAATGGTTGTTTAGTCAATTCAATAAATCAAATACATGTGAGTAACACACATTTATATAAAAAAAACAGTATGTGGCACATTGAAATTTCAAAGAAAAATGTTGTATCAAATAATTAACTGTGTTCATAGCGTTTTTTTGTCCTGTCATGCATAACAGGACAAAACTGTAATTCGAGCATAATTTTACGGATCTTCATCACGAAGTTTGCATAATAGGACAAAGAAAGTTCTCCTGCTTCTATCTCTAGGTCAGATGCTTAGTAAAATAAAATCAAAAAGATTAAAAGCATATTGTTTGATGATTATATTTGACTTATTCAATTTCTTTTTTTTCTTCTCTTGCATATGAATTTATTGAAACTGATTGATACTCTGAGGCCTCTCTATCGTTCGGTTGAATGTTTCACATATTTCAATACGAAAAAGCAACATTTATTATTAAACTCTATTGATTTTCTTTATATTTGCGTTTTAGGTAAACTATCACATCAACGAAAATTTTGTTCTATCTGTGAATTAACAAAAATTATTTCCGCTATTCATCCATCATCAACAAACACACTTATTGAATCACATTGTCTTACTACTCCATCAGCTGATTCTATTAGAACTCATGTACATTTAATATCACCTGTTTTTAATGTTGGGGAACAAGAAGATGTTAGTGAATTTATTATTACTTTGTTGAATCATTTTGTTTGTTGTTTACCATCACATCTGTCAATATCATCTACTCTTTCTTTGGAACCAACGATTATTGATCAAGTATTCAATATTAAGCTTCTATCATCGGGACAATGTTCATCGTGCTTATCAGGGTTGCCAGATGAAAATTTTCAAAATCAGAATTTTTTTTTTCAAATTCAGAAAACGATCAGAAAATTTTTTTGGAAAATCAGAAATTAATCAGAAAGGTAGTTTTTTGCAAACGAATTGGTATTATGTGAAGATACCAGCATAGAATATTCCGATGGATTTCTGTTTATTGACTTATAGTTTATTTTTCAAAAGTGTTTCACTATAAAGAAAGACAATACAATGAATATATCGTTTAATTAATACAAAAAATATAATAAAAGATGTTTAGTGTCGTATTTTTCCACTAAACTCAGCTAGTTCACAAAGTACAAAAGCAAACAATGTATATATTAATTAGAAAATCCAAGAAACAAAAGTTGATATAACATCATTTCGATGTTATTATTCATATTTTGCATTTTTTCGAATTTGTTTTAACAAAGATGTTTGTGATAATATATGTTTATAGAATCCTTCACAAGAATAATTGCCATTCATTCTAATTATTAGTTCAGCATTGATTAATTCTATGTCCATTCGATTACGATAATCTGTCCACACATGTTTCATATGACTGAAAATTGATTCTACATATGAATTTGAACATGGGAGGGAAAAGACATAACAAATAACTTTTTGAAAATTTGGTTTTGAATATGGATTGATGTTTAATAAATATGCCCATAATTGATCTGATCTGATAAAATTATGAAACCACATTACGAACACGATCAAGAATAGACTTCATTTTTCTGTTTTTTATTCTACCTAATACAACAATGCTTAAAGTTTTTTGTCTTATGTCTCATTAATCAATAGTGACGTAATCA